TTTCCAAGGTCCGCAGCTTGTTAGGGGCAGGATTCCAACCCAGACATTCTAGCTCCAGAGCACAGGTTAATATTTCCCTCTTAGGGTCTCAGTGTGGCCTAACCAGGATAATTAATGTGTTGGAGAGTTCCTGGCCCATGGAGGGGTAGGGGGGGCTCATAAGAGTTACTCTCCTTTCCCCCTGACCAAGTGAAAATGCAAAGTCAGGGCTGCATTGCCTCAGACATGGACCTCACTCACACCAGTACAAATCCTATACAGGGATGCAAACGCCACGAGCCCCTGGGACACAGTCCACCTTCGGTTTTGCATTCAACACCTGGAACGTAGGGTTGACTGGCAGGACGCACTGGCCCCCCCTTGGTGGGGAGGCCCCTCAAGGCAAATCAGTGGCAAGTGAAATTCACAAAGCTACCATTTCATCGGAAATCTGAGGGGGAAGGATATTTGACATGGGACACGCCTACTGAATGCCTGGATCCTCATCACTGGGCACACAGTATACAAAGGAGAATTAGGAGCCCTGTAGAAAATGAACTAGGTTTAGAAGAAATTGAATGCCAGAAAGAATTACAGTCTCAACAAAAAATAACTTCTACACATGGTTTTCTCCCTATTGTCTGTATTCACACAGCTCTAGACTTTGGTACAGAACTGTGTTTAAACACTAAAACGCTTTGTTTTGCAGATAGACACTGAATATGTAATTAAAAGGATCCCTTCATTAGCAGAACTAGACAATGAAAGCCCAAGTTGGCCTTCCCTGCTAATTTTGGAGGTTGTAAAAGAGAGGCTAATACAACCGCTGATTATGGTTGTCACACAGTGCCCTGCTGTTCTCCAGAGATAGGCAGGTCTTCCCAGTAATCGGCAGCCAGAAGCAGAGGGCTGTGGTGGTGTCGGGGTTAAAATGTGGCCTCTGGAGACAGCCACCCATTTCAGTTCCAGCTTATCACTTAGGCAGCCCACTTAACTCTCCCAGCTTCAGTGTCCTCCAACGTAAACCTGAGCCAATTATTGTGTCTAATTAATTGAATTGTCATGAGAACTCATTGAAACAGTTACTATATTTACTGCCAGATATTCTGAGCACCTACTATGTGCCAGGAATGTATTGAGGCTATAAACACCGTCATAATAAATGAGAGCACTGCCTGCCCTCCCAGCTTTCAATCTAGTAAAAGAAACAGGCATCAAACAGTTGCACAGATCACCCTTTCAGTCGTGATAATGACTGCGAAGAAAAGATGATGATGATGATGATGATGATGATGATGATGATGATGTTGATGATGATGTACAAAGTCTGGAAGGTTATCTAGAAAGGGATGGTTGATTCTATCTCCAATAGCTTTGGTATGCTTTTTGGAAAAGGTGGCACGGAATCTAAGATGGGAAGGATGAGTGTTTTTCAAGGGGAAATTGGGAACAAGCATTTAAGAGAGGAGGGAGGGGTGTGCAATGCGGAAGACAGTGCAGTAAGCAGGCAGTGACCAGACGTGCCTGCCCGGTGGGGCCCTGGGCAGCCAGCACAGACAAGGCTCACAGTTTGAAACATCCTTCTCCGGGCTTCTGTAAGAAGCTAGCCCGAGCCTAATCGTCCACAGAGAGACAGGTGGTGTACTCAAAGGGCTGAGGAGGGACTTGGTAACCCTTTTGGGCAAAAGAATTCTGGGCCCTGCCTGCTGGAGTGGCTGGGAGAGCCTGGAGCTTCTCCCTCAGTGTCAGAGTTCTGGCCTCTCTGGCATTTCAGCCTAATAGTGATGTTGTTTTCTCCTTTTTTCTTTTTCTTTTTTTAAGGCTCTGGACAGGGAGTCAGGAGAAGTGGGCCTGCCTTTGCCACCACCTCAAGCAAGTGGCATTGCTTCAACTTCCCCATAAAGGAAAATGAGGTCACTGCTAGTGCCCCCTCTGAGCCCGCAGTTCAACTTGCTCTGTATGTGGCGAGAGGCAATTACTTTGTGGCATTGTTTTGTGGCATCAATAATCCTTAGTAGAGAGCCATGGTATCAGATAAGGGGCAGATGTCCAGTGAGGCCCGAGAAAATGGGACTCGTGTGGGGCTTTAGTTAGCTTGGGGCAAGAGGCAGGTGCAGTCCAAGCTTAGGCAGTCTGCAGTGAGATTCCCCAGGTACCTGGCTTAGAGGAACAGGGCCACTGTCTGGTGTCCAGTTAAAGGGGTGGGGCGGGGGGAGGGCAGAATGTCAGAAATTGGTTAAGGAAACTCCATACTCTCCTGAGTTCCCAGAGCTGTATGCCCACCTCTCACCTTGAGGCTGGTGACTGGACCGGGGGCCTCTCACGATGATGGCACACGGGAGATTAAGATGTGGTGAATCTAACCAAGGTGTCTCACAGGTATTGAGGCTGTGCTAAGCACCATGCATTCCTTTGCTCTGTAATTACATCAGTTCTAAAGGTTAGTACCATTATTATTCCCAGTCTACATGAGAGGAAACTGAAGCTGTGAGGTTATCGGACTTGCCCAAGGACACCCAGGTGAAGAGTGCAGAGCTGGGATCTGCACGGAGCCTGAGCACCCCCTGCCTCTCACTCGGACCACCTGGCAGCACCCCTCCCTGGCCTGTGAGACGGCACAGTTCACTAACTGCCCGAGCTCTGAGACAAAGAGCAAGGGCAACAAGGTGGAGATACCGCTCTGGGCAGAGGGGCAGAGCAGAGCCCTGTTAGAAAAGCAGCATATGGGAGGTCTTTGTAAAATGAGTTGTCACTTCCTTCATCCGGAAAATGAGAGGACTGGGCCCCATGAGCCCTGAAGGCCCTCCCAGCTCCACAGTAGTGAGCTCTGGTCAGTGGGAATGGGGGCCATTGAGTACGTCCTCGTGAGTGTCCTTGTGTTCATGCGTTGCCTGGCCTGGCAGCAAGATGCTCCTGCAGAACCCGGGCCGGGCAGCTCTGGAGTTCATCCCGAGCAGGGACAGAGACCTGGTCTGCTGCTGCCGCCGGGCCTTCGTTAATTCACAAACGCCACAAACCCTGTGCGTCAGTGATTCCTGTGAGCCCAGAGCGGATTTGTTTGGCAATCGCAGTGGAACAGCCCCGCCCAGACAAGTGCGGGTCCCTCCCAGGGCATCACACTGAGGTCAGTTACAAGCCTCTGAGCAGACTCCTCTGCATGCTTTCTAGAAAGGCTGTGCTTTATCCTAAACAGTTGTGTGCCAGGCTGAGGCTCAGCACCCTCCCAGCCACTCTCCCTGGTAAGCCTCACACCAACCCATAAGTCAGAGACTTCTGTAGGGAGGAAGAGAGGAGTTCAGAGAAGTTGTGTAACCAGGATGAGTTGCAGCGTGATAGAGTGGAAAGCATCTGGGCTTTGAACTCAAAAAGATCCAGGCTCAAATCCTCATTCTCAGCCATTTAATAGCGGAGTAGCCTTTGGAAAGTGGTTTAACCTCTCTGAAGCTGATTTTTTTCTCATCAGGAGAAATAGGGCCAATGGGGCCACTTATAGTACCTACTCTATAGGCGCATTGCCAGGGTCAGAGGAGATGTGACAAGTAACCCACCTGGCCCTCGGGTGCTCAGTGCCTGGTTACTCCCGTGCATGGAAGCAGCATCGTGCAGTAGTTAGAAATAAGGAACTCTGCCTCCTGGGTTTCTGTCCCTGATCCACAATTTGTTTAGTTAGTATCTTTGTGCCTTGGTTTCCTCATCTGTAAAATGGAAGTGATGATAACTCCACTTCATAGGATTTTGTAAGATTAATTGTTTTTAAGACAGTTCCTGGCACATAGTAGGTGCTACCAGTACCGTCAACAGTGTGTGTCGCTGTTGGTGTTACACGATGCTATGGAAGAAAGTGGACAAGTGAGGTGGAAGTGGCCAGGCAAGCGTTCAGAGGCCAGTGGATGAAGGGGAGCAGGTGGGAACAGACCCAGTGTGGGTCTAGGTCAGTGATGGCGAACCCATGACACGCGTGTCAGAGGTGACATGCGAACTCATTTTTTTGGTTGATTTTTCTTTGTTAAATGGCATTTAAATATATAAAATAAATATCAAAAATATAAGTCTTTGTTTTACTATGGTTGCACATATCAAAAAATTTCTATATGTGACACGGCACCAGAGTTAAGTTAGGGTTTTTCAAAATGCTGACACGCCGAGCTCAAAAGGTTCGCCATCACTGGTCTAGGTCTTCTAGGGACTTGAACATCAGACAAAAAGCTCTCATTCAGACTTTTTCCTCATCAGTTTGGAAACACATGCTTCACCCATTCTGTAGTCTGACGCCTTCTCTTCAAATAGCATAGCATCACCATCAAGCAAATGGGGCCTCTGTGATGGCAGACATTTATCAAGTGACAGAGCTGGGCGACATGGTAGTTATGTTTATTTTTAGTGCCTTCATCCTCCAACTCTTTAAATGAGCTGCTGGGCTAATTTAAGGGACTTCTGCCACACATAGCTGGCAGTTTCCTCAAGAAGGCCAACATGCATTTGAAATTCCAAGTGACTGGGAGGACAGGCCTCAGCCAAATTATAGGGGAGGAAGCCCGCTTACCTCCCTTGGCCAGCGCAGCGCCACTGCCCACCAGACTCTCCTGCTGGGTCACAGGATCGCCGGGAACATGAACCAGGGCACTCTGTCCCCCATGGTCAAGCAGTTACCAGTCATCTTTCAGCTGGACTTCAGCCGGCATCAGCATCAGGTCAGGGCTTCCTAAAACAGATTGCCCGCTCGCTCACAGGTTTCGAGTCCACAGGCCTGGGGTGGAGCCAAGAATGTGCATTTCCAACAAGCTCCCGGGTGGTGCTGATGCACTGACCGTGCTTTCAGAATCATTGGCTTGGATGTTCCAATAGCTTCCTGGCATCATCCATCCCCCATCAGGGACCATCCCGCTGACAGACTCCTTCGTCTTCACCGCACTTCTCTCCCTAAAACCCACCAAATCCAAGCCCCGTGTCTGACATTCCAGATCCCATAAGACCCAGGCCCCGTGGGCTTTCAGGTCATATGCCCACCTGTCTCTCTTCAGGCGCACCGCCTCCTGCCGAGGCCCAGCAAACCTGCTCTGCCCACATGCTCTGGGTCCAAACTCTGGACCCTCACGTGGCTACCTCCACCTCCTCAGTGATTGCAATGGATGGGGCTTGTCTTTCCCCACTGGGTCAAGTGCTTCTGGACTGTGTGCACCTCGCCTTTGTGTCCCAGGCCCCAGGGACAGGTAAGTGCTTGGAAAGTGGTTCATGAAGAATAAATTGTCGAAGGGATGCTTAACTAAAAACGGAAAGTGTTTCTCTGAGAGAATTCGAGCGCCTTCCCTGAATCGGCAACTTTTCCTTGCTTTGTCTGCCTTTCTCTGTTGTTAATTTCTGGGAATATACACAGCTTATACAGAAGAAGAAAAGTCTTTGATTTCAATCAAATTATTAGCATAAGAATTATATAGTGAACTAAACATAGAGTGTTTAGTGAGACAGTACTGAGTATAACTTCTGATTCCACTCTTGATTTGTGATGCTGGGCATGTATTCAGGTTCTCTGGGCGTCAGATTCCTGATCGGTGAGATGGGAACAGTTTCTGCCTCCCTCTTAGAATTGCTATGAGGGGCAAGTGAAATGATATGTTTCTTGGCACAATGCTTGAAGTATATGTAGCAGGTCCCCAGTAAATACTGGTGATTTTTGACAGCTGCTTGCCAGGCAAAATAGAGATCAGGTGTTTTTTCACAAGAGTTTTAATAAAAATAATTCCATTTTATTGAAAAACGATAATAAACCATTCTGGGATGCTTTCCCCTATTTTAATGAATCAAGGATACACCAAATTCAATTTTAAAAAACTGCCCCAACGGACTAGTAAACTTGATTTATATTTTTTACTAGTCACTTCTATTTCATAAGCCCGACATTTCCATTAAAGTGCTATTAAGTAAAAACAAGATTTTATAGTATTTGTGATAACCTGGATCTCAATGTGATAACTGAAATTATCTCCAGCAAAGACACTATTCCTCATTGTTTTATTTCCTCTTATATATCAGCTATATCTTTACTACCTTCTTCCAGTCGAGCAAAACCCTTTCCCCCTGAATCTGTGGTTTTGAGTCCAGGAAAATGGCATCTGTGGCTTGGAAGGCCCTTTTCATCTTGAGGTTAATTGGGATGCAGAAGGAAGGGAATGGTGGTCATCCATCCGCTGCGTGCTGCGGCCCTTGAGAGAAACGTGAAAGGCTCTGCGGGCAGGTGGGACGCAGGCTGTGGATCCTGGAGGGAGACATCCTCTGACAGGCCATCGGGAAGACCTGAGAGGTCCCCATCACCAGGACAACCGAGCTAAGGCCACCACGCTGGAGGGCCTGCTGATTAAATGGCCCGTTGGTATTGATGTCTCCCTAGAATTAAGATTTCTTCTCTAAAATGACATAATTGTGAAACTGTTCTGGAACTAGAGAGAGTTCTACAACCTTGTGAAGGTACTGGATGCCATAGGGTCATACATTTCAAATACTTAAAAGCGGTGAGTGCATGTTATGTACATTAGACCATAATAAAAGGGAATCGATGATGTCATTGGACAGAATGACACCAAGGCTGCATCTAGTCACACGTGTTGTTTCTGAGGGAGCACATCACTTAGGTCACCTGACTGTTTAGTCAAAGACAGGCCATGCAGACACTCACTCCTTAATTCAGTGATGGTTCAGGCACACTATGAAGCATTGCGTGTCCATGAGAAATTGAGCTCCTGAAAACATGTTCAGTGCCACAGGAAGATACTTACAGTGTGCAAGAAGGATTTTAACTGTGTGTCATGTGAACCTAACTTTACAGATAAATCAAAATGTTAACACAGTTCATCCCTGACTCGTGGGGTTACAAATGGTTTTGATTCCGTAATACATTTCTCAAGTTGTCTAAAAGGGCATGAATTACTATTAGAGCCCATAAAAACGATTTAAAGCAAACAATAAATAGCAGCACTTAGGGTGTTGTAAGCCCCGACGTGCATGTGATGTGCTGCAGAGTAATGATGGCAAAATGGAGTGAGCACTGGTGAGAAGCACAGGTTTCTGACTCGGGGCCAGCCGGGGTGCAGAGGTGCTCCACCCTGCTGCGCCTCAGTGTCTCCACCTGGGACAGGGGTGTAATAATCACAGACTGCCTCACGGGGCTGCGTGAAGAGCACACGAGATCGTGCAGGTGGGACAGTTGTGTCGATTGACACATTTTCTGAGCTGTTTTCCTGGTCACTAAGTGTATTCACACCGTACATTTCTGAATCTTCCCTTTAACATCAACTTAATGAGTGCTTATAAAGTCGGTGCTTACCACTTATCCAGTAACTTAAGCGCTAACTTCCATCAGCAGTGCTGCTTGCTTTTTCTCATCTTTCTTCCTATAACTTTAATAGGAGAGCATTTCATTTCATCTGAGAAGGAACCACCTGACTTTTACTTCCTGCCTCCAGTTGAAGGAGATGAGGATGAAGCCAGTTTGGCTGCCGGAAAGTTGCCGGGCCGCTCCCCTTTGCAGGAGGGGGCATTTGTGTCCCCAGAACACTGTTGAATTTTCTTGAATATCAGAATAATTTCATAAAACATCCTGACTAAGGAATCACAGCAATATAACCATTTTTTGTATGAGTTCCAAATAAGAAAATAGTTAAGCCCGAAAATATAATTGTGCCTATTCCTAGAAACAGATAACTGATGTATCTTTGCAAATTGTTCATTTAACCGTGCCTATGGCTTCTTGCCAACCCTCAATGAGATTTTTATATTTCTTAATTATTCAATTACTACCCATAAGTAGGAGTTTAAAAATCAAATCCAGACAGTTCCATAATAAATAGAGTATTCTCTTGAATCCTGAGTACATATAGTCAAGGAAGTTGTCCTATTGGGAAACCAGGATGGTAGGGTAGGGGAAGCGTAAGTTTCCAGGGCAGGCCCTGTCCTGGGTCTGAATCCTGGCTTTGGCATGGACTGGCTCTGTGAGTGTGGGCAGGTCGCTTCTCTGAAGTCAGTTCTCTGGTCTGTACAGTAAAAATGGTGACAATACCCACCTCCCGAGGTTGCTGTAACTCTAAAGGAAAGGAGATTGTGCAAGAGAAAGGCTCTCTGTGCTGTAAAGCCCGCTCCAGTGATTCAATTGTTAATCCCTTGTGTGCTTCAGGTCTCAGCAGCTGGAGAACCCATCAGCCGGAAAGGAAGATCCTTCCGACAATGATCTGGCCATCACCTCGGAAGGCAACCCCAAACCTGAGGCCCACCTGCCCTCCATCTGCCTCAAGCAGGTGTTCCCCAAGTATGCCAAGCAGTTCAACTACCTGCGCCTGGTGGACAGGATGGCAAACTTGTTTATCCGGTTCCTGGGAATCAAGGGGACAATGAAGTTAGGACCAACAGGCTTCCGTACCTTCATAAGGTCAGTGAGACCGGCCCTTCTGACCTGGGCTGCGGGCAGGGTAGGGTCCAGCCCCACTTCTGGCCAGTCCCATCTGCCCTACTGCTGCTGGGGGCTGGGGGCTCTGGTGCTGGGTCAGGGCCCCCCTACGGTTGGATCTGACCAGTGTCGTCTTTGTTGAATGAATGAATGAATGGATATTATGAGTGTGTCAGCATTCACAACCTTATGTTGTGGTTAAAAAACAATTCTGTGCTACCTTGAACCAGGTCTTTAAACCACATATAAGTAATTCCCCCCTGGACTCAGACAGACCTGGGCTTCCTGAACTGGGCTGATGTTCTCCCAGCAGCATGTGGCTGCGTGGGGAGTGTTTATGAAGCCACAGCCAAGAGACAAGGCACATCTTTCCAAAGTGTCAGTTTCAGGAGAGAAAAGTTAAATAATTCAGTCAATAAATAGTTTAACACGTTTGCTCTACTATAAAGATAACAAGGTTATATTACAGAGTATAATACACATTTTACATTATTTTCAAGATAAAACTGGATTTTTGCTGACACCTACAAAATAAGCCATTGCCACTTAATCTCTGTAAATTATTCGTCATTTGCCTCTTACCTGGACACGTGGGGGCAATACGGGATCACATACTAGCTATGTAACCCTTGGACAAATTAATGACCATCTCTGAACCTCGATGGACCTATCAAATGGGGTGAAGCTCCCTGTACCCCAGCACAGTGTGTTGTACACCTCAGACAAACTGTCAGTGTCGATGCTACCGTGGTTTTTCTCATCGTTGCTTTTACTATCTCTACCTTGCTCTTCAAAGTCACACACTTCATGGTTTATTCACTAAAGCAAATAATTAGAAGTTTTGACTGAGGAACCATTTTTGTCCCAGTTTCCTCTAAGGGAATTTTACAAACTCTAACTCTAACTCTGATGTTTCTGATAGAATGGTAAACGGCAGTATCAGCAGAATTTTTGCCATTTCAGTAACCCTGAAGTAATATTTGCTTGGTGATTTTGAGAAGGGCTTTGTGTTAGTTTCAGGGGCAAAAAGAAAGCTAGTGGAAGAGCACAGGCTTTGGGGTCTGGCTTCAAAGCCAAGTGCATTACTGTGTGGCTTTGGGCAAGTCGCTTGTCTCCTCTGAGTCTCATCAGTAAAATGGGAACAATCTCTCCTGCCTTGCAAGGTTATCATGAGGTTGGGATATAATATATCATAAAACACCTGGCCCAGTGCCTAGTTCAGGGGAGCTGTTTGTTAAATGGGAGTCTGATTATTATTTCTAGTAGGCAGTTGAAATTTCAAGAAAGTCAACAGACAAGTGTTGTTATTTCTCTGAGAAAATAACAACACCCTCTGACTCGCTTAGGAATTTCATTTGATGTGCAGTAATGGATACCCACCTTTAAATAGTTTAGATAGTGTGATTCATTTCTGTCGTATAACAGGAAGTTTGGCAGTGGGGGTTCTAGGGCTAGTTAATGACTCCACAAAGTGGTCAGCATCCCACTTTCTGTCTTTCTGCTCATCCATTCTCAGCATGAGCATCTAGCTTCAGAGTTGCCTTGTGTTCACAAGGTGGCTGCTCAAAATCCAGCCATCATGGCCAACTTCCAGGCAGGAAAGAGGAAGAAAGGAGGATGTGCAGAAGGCCTCTGCCAAATGAATTAGACCCTTTCCAAAGCTTTCCAGAAGCTGTATTCAATGACTTCCATTTCATCTATCTTCTTGGCCACTGCCATCTGCATGGGAAGCTGGGAAATAGAATTGTTCTGTATATATTGCTGTCCTAATACAGTGACGACAACAAGGAAGAGGAGAAAAATAGGTAAACATTCTCTGCCCCTTTGTGGCCTGGGATATAGGGAAACAGCTCAGTGACAGGGGCCCCGAGTCATAGGGTTCTTGAGGTGCCGTGGACAGTGCAGGGACAGAGGGGAGTGAGGAGGGTGCGCAGTCTTCTCTCAGCATGACAAGTCCAGGGGCTGAGACCTTCCAGAGCAAAGGCAGGAGCTTCCTGGGCCCTTCCCAGCCCCTGTGCCATTGCACAGAAGGGTCCACTCAAGACCCACAAGAGTAAGGGATGGCCCTAACTGGTTTGTCTCAGTGGATAGAGCGTCGGCCTGCAGACTGAAAGGTCCCAGGTTCGATTCCGGTCAAGAGCACGTACCTTGGTTGCGGGCACATCCCCAGTAGGAGGTGTGTAGGAGGCAGCTGATAGATGTTTCTCTCTCATGGATGTTTCTAACACTCTATCCCTCTCCCTTCCTCTCTGTGAAAAATCAATAAAATATATATTTTTTAAAAAAGAGTGAGGAATGGCTCGGCTTTATGTGGACAACAGCCTGGGTGCTGCAGGGGACCTGGCCCTGGGAGGCCTGCTCTGTCTCAGCCTCATGTGGGAAAGGACAGTGTGTCGTTTGACCTAACAACTTCTCCCGCGCCTGGTAGCCATAGGACAATCAGAGATAAATAATGGAGCCCCACCTGCCCTCAGGGGGTTCTCAGTCTAACAGACAGCACACAGGGAACAAGTCATTAAATGCAACCCTTGGCAGAGCCCTGGGGTAGCAGACAGAAGAGGGGACAGGAGAGGAGACTCTTCCTCTGCCTGGTGGAGCCAAGGCAGCCCCGAGGAGGCAGGCTTGGACTGTTACAAGCCGGAGTCTGCCTGCGAGTGAAGGAGGGCTTCCCCGTCCAGGAGCGGGGAGAGCCTGAGAACAGGGTTCATGAGCGGCTCGTGTTCAGAAATTAGGAAAAGTTGATCATCAGGCTAAATTGATGGTGGAAACTGAATGCTTCCTTTTTATTCCTAATAAAATTCTACTAAAAGGGAAGAGCGAGGGGGGTTAGAAAAGCTAGTGAGCCATAGGAATCACACTCTCCGGTGCCCCCAGGAGCAGGCGGGAAGCCACGCAGAGGCAGTGACTGATCTGGAGAAGGAGGGGCAGACGGCCTGGAGCCTGGAGAGTGCACCACGGGGAGGATACCTGGGCTGGCAGCCCCAGCTTGTGATTTTTCAGGAGAAACTAGAACTGGTTTCTGTGTAGAAGCTCAATATACGTGTATCAGTGTCGGCCATTCAGAAAATAACTTTTCAACCCTATGGGGGTTCAGTGAAAGCATGGCTGCCATCGAGAGCACGGGCGTGTGAGCTCCGGTGTGAGAAGCCAGGAGCACAGTAAGAGGACTGCAGTGTCCACACGCCGCCCTGAAAAGAAAGCAACGGGGAATGGTTCTCGCCAAGAAGATTCCTACAATGCGCTCAGACTGGAACTGGGTGATGTCAGAAATATCGCTACAAATCTGCTCTGCGTGATCAGCTTTCTGCTTTTCCATCCCTTTGTTCTCTATAATTAAGGGCATTTGCATGAAAAAATGATTTTGTGATGTTAGAGACTGTTAGGTCCTGCAGCCATCATTCCCCATCTGTGTTAGTGTGATAGAGGGAGGACAGCGACCCTGAGAAGGGAGCACAACGTCTGCAGGGGATGGCGATGTCTGCAGGGGGGTAGCGATGTCTGCAGTGGGGTGGCGATGTCTGCAGTGGGGGAGCGATGTCTGCAGTGGGGTGGCGATGTCTGCAGTAGGATGGCGATGTCTGCAGTGGGATGGCGATGTCGGCAGGGGATGGCGATGTCTGCAGGGGGGTAGCGATGTCTGCAGTGGGATGGCGATGTCTGCAGTGGGGGAGCGATGTCTGCAGTGGGGTGGCGATGTCTGCAGTAGGATGGCGATGTCTGCAGTGGGATGGCGATGTCGGCAGGGGATGGCGATGTCTGCAGTGGGGTAGCGATGTCTGCAGTGGGGTAGCGATGTCTGCAGGGGATGGCGATGTCTGCAGGTGGGATGGCGGCAGCAGAGCAGACGGGCTCAGACAGTGAGCCCCCCCAAATCCCCGACACACACAGACACACACACACACACACACACACACACACACACGGCAGCAAGTGCCCTGAGTAATTAAGATACAGGAGAAATAGAGAAAACGTTGCACGGCTATTAATAGATATTTCCTTTTTAAAATGTACCACAAGATCCCAACAGCAATTTAATCATAAAAGACAATACCCTCTGCTTTCAGGTTTATCTGAGTATGTTCGGCCTTGCCAGCTAAATTTAACAACAAGCATTTTCTCTTGCTAACAACTATTCTCCCTCTCTCCTTTGCACTTCATTTAAAACTCGCTTCATTATAAATTAATAGTATTTATGCCATATGTCACATTGAACCAAGTGACTTCTCTGGAGCACTGCTCGGGAAACACACACATTGGCCGGACAGACGGAGCCTCCATTCAGAGCCCACACAGGGCAGAGGCTGTCCTTGGCTTTCATCGCTACCACTACTCACTCTTCTCCACGTTCCTCGAAGAGAACTGGAGGGAACGAAATAGCCAACATTCCAGCTGAATTTATTTCCAGTGACCATCGCTCACAGTGTGCTGCACGGATCAGCAGTTTCAGGAGTGAGTTATGCTAATGCCGGTCCGGCCATGTCCTATTTTTCTCTTCCATCAGGAAATGAGGAATAACGAACTGTCGTTCTCTTGTCTAGACTTAACTGTCTAACCAGCTTTTCCTGTCATCTCCTTGGGAGGCACCTAAGAGTAGCACAAATTACCATGAATTAAGTGCCTCTTTCTCTGTCTCCTCTTTATTATTATTTCATAGTAATTGCTGGGGTGTGGATACTTCTCTTTCTCTGAGAAACAGAAATGATCTGGCTCCTCAGTGTGACAGCTTCCTCTGAGAGCAATGCATTTGTGTTGTTTTCCTGCGCCTGGATTGCTAATTTGGGGGCGTCCTGTGTAATTCACTAAGAACACGGTTTCCGAGCGTGTCCTCCATCAGGATTTGACATCGGTTCCCACACACTGCATTGCCGTCTCCGGAGCCTGAGAACTAAACAGTTTGCCGCAACTGGGTTGGTTTCTAGACAACGGAGGTGGCTGCCCCACAGCCTGAGCATTTTCGTTTTTGCTTCGTGCAGACTGTCCTCCTCGGAGATCCCCGCTCATCCCTCCGTGGTCTCTGATCCTGGTCTCCTTTTAAATTAGAAAATGGTTTTCTCTTTTTTCCCATTCTGCCCCCTTCTCTCAAAAGGCGATATTAATAGGCTTCATAATGGGTAGCTGTGGAGGGGAGGGGGGGGGTGTTTTTTTCTGAGAGGCAACATGGTGTGTTAGAATGTTCTAGAAGGAAAGTGTAGTGAGTCTTGCCTCTCCTCTGGCATTAACTCCTCCGTGACTTTGAAAATCCCCCTGGTCCCTGATGACCTCTTGCTGGCAGTATTGTGAGAGTCCACACCTGGGGTTGCAATAGCCTTTAATATGCTATCTGCATCATTAACTGGAGTTGCTTCCCCTCGCCCCCTAGGTGTTTAGTTAGTGGCTTGTGTTTTTTAAAACCAATATTGATCATGTGTTAGTTTTCACCTTATAGACACGTCTCCAGGTAAAAATAATCTCCGTCTCTGCACAAAAAAGGAAGAACACAAAAGAAATTCTATAAATAGGATTTTATGGAGTGGAAAAAGTTGGCGTCTAAATTTCCCATGAGATGTCGGTAGTTGTTGAAAGGAAATGGGGATGATCATTTCAAATCCTTCTATATTTGGGATCCTAATGAACTTGAATGATTTGTGATTCTCTCCCATCATCTGTGCCCAAATTCCTTTGATTCTAAAAACAAAACATTTCTTCAAGCTGTTTCTGCATCATGGAGGAAGGCTGGGAGTACTTGTCACTTCCCCACATGTTCCAGGCACTAAGCTAGTCCTCAAAACAGTTTCATATGGTGAGTAGCCTGATTTTTGTACAAATAAGGAAATTTAGATGCAGAGAGTGTCAGTGACTTACTCAAGGTCACACAGCAAGTTCAAGGTTCAGGGTCCTGTGTGTTTGACTCCACAGCTCAATTTTCCCATGTACATTGCTAGCCCATCTTAGGAGTTTTTCTGGCTTCTCATGGTACCATATTGATTGGACTCCTCTTCTACTGAAGACTTTATCCTTTAGACATTTGAAGAACTGCATCCCAAGACATTAAGGGAAACTGTCTTAAGGATTCAGGGCTACCAAGGCTTCACATTTTTACCCCAGACTCTGAGGTCACTTTCACTTCCGAGAGTGGTACCCGAGACTGACTCTGCTTTGCATCACTTATTGGGCCCAGAATACTGCCTGATGTAGTGGACACAAAATAAATTCTGCATTGAGTGGATGGATGGATGGATGGATGGATGAAAATTAATTCTAAAGTCTTGAACCCCAGAGTCCTTCCCTTTTGGAATGTCTATTGAGAATGTTATAACCACGGAGACAAACCTGGGAGAACCTGTATTCCAGTGACCCTGTCATTGTCCCAGCCTTATATCCCAAAGATTCCCAGCAGGGGCTCTCTACCATCTCCTGATTTCCTGGGACCCCCAGAGACTTTGAGTCTTGCATCCTGGGTTCTTCCTGGGGCCCGGGGCTGGGCCACCTCCCCACATCTCCCCAAAGCTCCCAAGTCAGCCACCCTATTCTCCAGGGACGACTTGATGTGAATTCCAGCTGTGTAATTTCGGGCTGAGTCTCAGCTTACCCATCACTGAAATGGGACTAAGAGTACTTCCCTCATAGAGCACTTGTAAAGATCCAGAGAGCTAATGGGCAGGAAAAGGCCTGGCATGCGGATGGTGTCCCCCAAACTGCCTACAGAATCCAAATCCTTTTAAAGCACTTCCTGCCCGCTGCAGCCAGCATGGATTCCTCCCGTCCCCACAGCAGATGTTGCGATCAACTGCACTTGCCGGCATCACCCAGGAGAATGAGTTTCCTTGGAAAAGGGATAAGTGGAGAATTCTTTTTGGTAAATTACGGCTCCTGCTAAAGGTTCGACACTTCTATTTTCCACCTGTCAGGGAAAAAAATAACTACATACCAGCGGTCAGTTCGGTTTCACTCTTTATACTCTATTAACCCACAGAGCAAGCAGCAGCGCTCCTGCCCTGGGGGGAGCAGGGAGCCCAGAGGACACTGATATGATAATTAGAGAAAACCATGGCCACGCCCTTCCTGATGAAGCTTTGGGAGGGAGCGGTGCAGGGCGTTGGAATACCTGGGGAGAGACGAGCCCCGCCCCAGGGAACCCAATAGAGATAGTCCTCATGGTGACCGGGGAAGTGACAAGCTCAGCGTCCACTGACGTGTTGTTACTGGGGCTCAATAACTGTGCACTGATGTGCTTTGAAGTCTGCCACCGTGACTGGTGATTGAAATATGGAGCCAGCCCAGGAGGAAGCAGGATGTGAATTGATGGCTTAAGAAATATGCACAGGGCTGGCAGGGAGGAAAGGAAGGTAGGGGAGTGAAGCCAGAGAGTGTGCTAGCGTATAAGGAGCACCAGCCTCATCCCCGCTCCTGCCGGCACACTTCCGGCACCCTTGTTAGGGTTGTGCGTGGGTTTGGAGAGGGGCCTCTGAAATGGCCAAATCCTGCTTGCCAATCAACCCCTGGCCTGTCGGGTTCCTAAGGAAGATATTCACACAAGGGATGATGACAAATGGAAGCGCAAAGAACCATTTTATCATTGGCTGGGGGGCAATGGATGTGGACATGTTTGGAAAGTTGAAAGCAGCATTGAATGTAGTTCAGCCGATGGACAGCTATCCCAGAGGTCTCACTTTCAGGGTTGTCAGGCAAATCCAGCCAGTGTTGGGATCTCCTCACAGCGCAGGCCAAGCCAGGGGAGCCGAGCCCTGCACCCACACATTGACTGGCCAGCAGCATTCCTCCAGACAGCACTAGGCCACCCACCACAAGGTCAGCCACAGGCAACCTCTCACAGGCCGAGATGGCTCAAGTTCTGGAGGAGGAGAGGAGAAAGGGGAAAGAGATGGAGAGGGAGCCAAGAGTTGTCATGTGCCAGGCACCATGCTGGCTCCTCATCTCATCTTCACATCAGCCATGTGGGCGGGTATTATTATCTTCATTTAGAGACCAACAAATAAAGGCTTGGAGGTTTAAGTAAGTCGCAGAATTTCAATCCTGGTCTGTCGAACGCCCAAGTCGTGCTCTTTTTTGTGTGCCAAACTGCCTACCCACATTTCCAGACCAAAAAAAACACAACAACAACAACAACAAACAAGAAACAACTGGGGAGGAGGAGGATTCCAAACACCCTGTAACTTGTCAGCAGGGAGCACCATTGCTGACATCAGACTGAAAACCTGGCTCTCTTGGCCTCTCTGCTCCTAAACTAGGGGAGCTCAGAGCCCTGCCCTCTCCCTCCTCCTGTGTTTTCAGGTGACTCCCCTAAAGTCAGAAATGAGCATCAGGGGTCCCCAGCGATGCTGCCTCAGCCCACACACAGGGTGTGGGGAGCCTTGCCATTCTGCGCTGGGAGTCCTGGGCTCACAGTGCTGACTCAGGCCATGTAGAATCTCCGAGGACAGACGGAGATGGGTCAAGCGCAGAGGCCTTGAGCCCCTGTCTGCAGATTTGGCCCCAGGACTTTCCTGGTGAGTGTTTCCTGGGGGAGGGGGTCACTTCTGCACAGCAGTGACACCTGCACGGGTGCCGGTGACGCGCTGTTATCACTGTCACTGAGCTTGCCTCTGTCAGCTGTGGGGCACTGGCCGGAGAACACAGCACTGCAGGCCCGGCTTTCCTTCCCTCTACAGAGACCAGCGAGGGGAAGGGGAAGTCACATGTAGGGTGTGTTTTGGAATGTGGAGTCCCCATTTCCTCTGAAGAGCAGACAGAAACCTACATGGATGTGTAGGGACAGGTGGGCACACTTCATTACAGATGACTGCTCTTTGCAGCCCATTAAAACCCTGATTAGCCAGTACAGGAGCCCACATGATGTAACCTCAACTTACATTTCCAGCCTTCTCTCCCACCGTTCCCTGCCATGCACCCTTCCTTAGCTCCAGCCCTGGGAAGGGAAGGCTTATCATATAAGGAGCACCAGTCTCATCCAGGCACCTGATATGATCATTAGAGAAAACCGTGT